AAAACAGCAAAGAGTGATGGCTAGCATAAGAAAACAAAACAGCTGACATTTCAGGATCCACCAATAAAGACATACATGTACTGAGACTGTGTTTGACTGATTAACTGACTGGCTAATATTGATTGAAAGGTTGATTGACTGATGGACAGACTTTTTGACTGATTAACTGACTAACAGAATGATGATAAAAGTTGGACAAAAATTAATTTCAGAATTGGTAGAAATAAACTCATTTCTGGTGATTTCAGAAGCTCTAAATTTCAAAGTTTTTTCAGGGGAACATGCCCCTGGACCCCTCTACACAGACTCTTGCCTTCAGCGCTTGTTGAGCTCGTCCTACATGCAAGCTAGCCCCATCAAAAGACAATATGCTCTGTGCCCAAATTCAAAATCATGACCCTTTTTGTGAACAATGTTTTATGTGCAACCTAAATCAAGGACGCCAGAAAAAAGCTGTTGGAACAAAAAGTAAACTTGATTCATAAAAAATACTTATTTCACAGTTATTAATATCTGATGGTTCTGACTTCTTAATTTCACCAGTTTGAAAGGGTCCCCATCTCATTGCTTTTATGTTCAGTGTTAAAATAAATGTGCTGTATTACAGTTGTATTTTCAAAGTCAGTCAAAAACTCTTAGAGAAAAATTAATTAAATTGCTTGATCAAAGATTATTTTATCGATTCTTTATAGTTGTATGTATAGTGGAAAGCTTACTTTTTCAACCCCATCCACACACAAAGAAAATCATGTAAAGTGTTGGAGGGAGAAAAAAATATTAGGCAAATGCATACTTCAAGAAAAAATTCACGGCAAATGAATGGGTTGAAAAAAAACTCATGCCTACAACAATTCACCCAACCCTCCCCTCCCCTGCTCCCCCTAGGATCCTCAGAAGTAAAGTGGTTGGCCCCTAAATGTGTTTGGACCTCTTTTATGAAGAGAACCCTTGTGGTTCGATTCTTGCAAGGGGCCACCTCCACTAAGCAACCACTTAATAATCTTATCATTTTGGTTCTTTTCTCATGGGAAGTTCAAATGTAGTACAAGCCACCTTCTTAGCCACATTAAGAATGGCTCAGCTTGTTTTAAGCATTTTTCTTCCCATATTTCAAGCAAAATGAACCTTTATTCAGGGGATACCAACAAAGGCTTGTTAGATGCCCACTAATTTAAAGTACATGTACATGTTTCATTGTAACCATAGTTATTACTGCTCTTCTCAAAAACACGAGAAAACTCTGAAGTTCAAAAGTCAACTGATGCTTGCGTTTTACTCTGCCGTCAACCATCTTGGAGGACTTCTTAGGAAACAGAACTTTACTTAAATGGGTTCAGAAGGTCATGGTTTGTGATCTTTGATACGTTTTGTGCGTTTCTGTGTTTCAAGGTTTGTTGCTTGTGATCGTAATTAAGATTGATGGCAACGAATAACACAATTGTGAACGCAGCCTTTTAACTTTAGAGTTTCCTGTGTTTGTGAAAAGCACAGTAAAGTGGAATGGTTATGAAACTTGCTATACCTCTCTGTTACATGTTTTTGTTTGCTTTTTTGGACTTAACGGTGCACAATGTTTACATGTAATAACAGCATTCCTATCATTTTGATCTTGCAAACAAATAAAAACTTCACAGCAATTTTTTCAGTCACAATTATTTGTGAACAAAAAAAGGGGTTGCAAACACCGTCAGGGAGCTACTAACATAACCTGCTGCACTGTTGTTTTTATCTTTGATCAGGACATAACTAATCGATATTTTCGATACTCAATAGAAATCGAACGTAATCGATCGTAATCGATATTAATCAATCGATTAATATCGGAAATCGATAGAAATCGATCACTCGCGTCTTTGTAACTTTCGATTTTGATCGATTTCTGTAATTAGCTATCGATTTTATCGATTTGTTCGACAATAATGATCGAAAAGAAAACGGACGAAGATTCTCCGCGCTCCGTAAGCCACCATGCGTGTCTCCCAATAAGCGCTCGAACAATACCCTTCTAAATTCTCGGAGAACGGACGACAGTTTGCCAATTTCTACATTAGTGACTCCGGCTATTTACCACGATTCTGACGATTCTAGAGTACAAATTCACAGCAGTGATCCTGGTAAAAAAAATAAATAAGAAAAGTAGCTACCATTGGAGAAAGAAGTAACATCATCTGTATCAACAAAGCGGATTCGAAGGTAAGCTTGAAGGTAAGTGTTACGCAGTGTTATGATAAGATCAGATCACGTTTTTGATTTTCGATTTCCATAGATGCGACAAAAAATTTGTGATTATCGATTTCAATCGATTAAATTGACTAATCAATCGACAAATATCGAGTACTATCGAGTATTATCGATTAATCGATTACATTTTCGATGATCGATTTCTATCGATTAGTTACGTCCTGCTTTGATGAATCTGGCCTTTCATGACCAGTCTCATCAGACAGGGTTGGTTATAAGTCTAGGGAAGAGTACACCTAGAATTATCTCAAGATTTAAAACATAAGCTTTATCCTTTAAGCAATATTACCTAAATATAACGTGCTTATAACACCGACATTTTCTGCGAAATAGCACAGGAAAAATTTCGGATTCCCAAATTGGGAAATTCCTGTAAATTTTCCCAATTTAGGGATAATATTGGGGAAAAATTGGGAATGAAATTTCCAAAATTGGGAAAATTTTGGGAAGTTAAACCTCCTTTAAGATCACAAAAGTGGGATTTTTGGGGAAAATATGATAATTATATTTTTACAACTCCATTTTGGGAATATTATGGTAGTTTATCCAATTCTGGGAAAAAATTGGGACATAAATTTCCTTCTTTGGGAAAATATTGGACAAAAAATTGGGAAAATCTTGTCTTGGAGGAAATAGAAATTACTATTTTGGGAAAATATTGGGAAATCTTAAGACGTCATTCTACTTGTCCCAATTTTTTTTATTTGGGAAATTTTTTTCCAAAGATGGGAAAATATTGGGAACAGAGTTGTTAAATGTTTTTGGATTTTCCCAAATCTAGGAACAAATGGGACATAGCTTTCCTGCAGTGGGAAAAGTTTGGGTGAAAAATTGGATTAGGTAAAAGTTACTGTTCTGGCAAAAATCAGAAAATTTACAACTAATTCTACTTTTGTGATTTCCTTATTTAAGGCCAGACATGATACATTGTTTGACAATGGCAAATTGCTGGGCCCACATTTTGGTGAACTTATTTTTTGGGGAAGGTAAACTACCTTTAAGTTCACAAAAAGGGATTTTTTTTGGACAAAATAATCATTATATTTTCACAACTCGATATTGGAAGTATTAAGGGGAATTTACCTAATTCTGGGAAAAAAATGGGACATGATTTTCCTTCTTTGGGAAAATATTAGACAAAAACTTTGGGAAAATTTTGTCTTGGAGGAAATAGAAATTACTATTTTGGGAAAATATTGGGAAATCTTAAGACGTCATTCTACTTGTCCCAATTTTTTTTTGTATTTGGGAAATTTTTTTCCAAAAATGGGAAAACATTGGGAACAGAGTTGTTAAATGTTTTTGGATTTTCCAAAACCTAGGAAGGAATGGGACATAGCTTTCCTACAGTGGGAAAAGATGGGTGAGAAATTGGAAAAGGTAAAAATAACAAACAAAAGAAACCAAAAAACCAACAAAGAACTGTACAGCAACCTTCCTAAGATTATAGATACACTGATGATCAGGAGGCCGCAGTTTATAGGACTTTGTTGGAGAAAAAAGGATGAGGTGATAAGTGATCCACTACTCTGGGAACCAAAGCACAACACAAGAAAGAGAGGGAGACCAGCAACAACATATGTAGACCAGCTGCGAAATGATACTGGTTTGAGCATTGCTGAACTGAAGAGCATCATGGGAAACCAGAAGGAATGGATGAAGCTAGTTAATGGAGTTCGAGTTCGCTCGAAATAAGCAAGCAGCAAGCAAGCAAAAATAACTGTTCTGGGAAAAATCAGGGAAAGTTTAAAACTAATTCTTCTTTTTCCATTTCCAAAATTTAAGGACATGGGACATTGTCTGACAATGGGAAATTATTGTTGGGCCCACAATTTGGTTTATTTTGTTTTTTTCAAATCTAAGATTTGACACAATCCAATACAGGGGGGTACACTGACTTACAAGTGTTATTAGTGGACTGTTGCATCTAAGCACTACAAATAAATAACTAAATAAACAAATAAAATAAAATAAATAAATAAATAAATAAAATTCTGGCCCGTAGACTAAAAGTTGACACTTGACACTTGGTGTTTACATGTACCTTACCCATTGTTATCATATGCAAATGCGTATCAGGGGCATGTGTGAATGCCACGAGAAAAATTATGATTGAAAACTCTGCATGGTGCAATTATAATGACATTTTTGGTAAGGATATCCATATATCCTTTTTTTAGGGGGAGTGTTTCAGTATCACATTCCACATACATGCTCCTGATACTGCAGAGAAGGGACTTAGATCCCCACTTATTTATTATTTAAATACAAAATAGAGGCTTTGCTTTTTCAACAACTTTGCCTTTGTCCAAAACCAACTTGAGATTTTTTGCCATTTGGAGTGACCAGGTTTCATTTGTATCCCTCCCACATACAAAACTGCTTAGAACTTAATCTATTGCCACTTCTTGACTCCAAACCTGGAATTTTTTTGCCTAAGATTTTTAAACAAAGCAATCTCATGACATTAAATAACAAAAAAAAACAATCTTTCTTAACCTGACACATATCTGATCTTATGCAGACGCATGTCGGGTCAGATGAGTCTATGCACCTGAGCTGACTTGGCCATGCATCTGCATAGTTTGCTTAAATTAACTGCATTTCACTGTTTAGTAACTTCATTGTATCAAGTGCAGATATCACTGTACTCAGTCATCCTTTCTCCACTGTGAGTGAGAAATCCACTTTCCACTTGCAATTCCAATGACAGAGTGCCAAGAAACAGTGTTTCTACCATGCCTCCCTTTGTGTCTCCCTTACATAGAGATTCTTGTGCCTGCTACTTTCAACAAAGAAAACACATCAACTGTCCTTTCACACTGATCAACACTTTGGGCATGGCCAAACCAAACATCGTACAACAGTTCTCCCTGAATCAACAACATATCTCCACACTCCATGTAAACTGGAACAATGATAGTGTAAGGCAGCTGTCTTGCTTGTCTCTGGTAGTCAGCAACAGAAATTACACCATCATCACAACTGTAGAGTATGACCTTTCTCTTGATACAGTCAAGTGGAAGAAAAATTGCTCTGAACTTGGTTTGGCTTTTAACTTTAATAAATCCACTCCAGAAATCACTTGCTTGACTTCCATCCTCTGCAGTAAGAGGGTGGTACCTCTGCCCAATTACCAATGTTGCATATCCTGTTTCTTCACATCTAACAGACAAAAAGTTGCATATCAATAACACTGTCTCATGACCATTGATGTCTGCAACAACAGCCTCTCCAGTGTTGAGAACTGATCCCTGGTATCCCACATCCAACAGGAAGGCTTTACTTGAAACAAAGCCAGTTACAGGCACCTCACTAACAGAAACATCCAATGTGTCTGCTATTTTCACTCTCTCATTCTGTGGCAGTGATTTGACCTTTGACATTGCACCCAATAGAAATGATCTTCGATTTTGAGGTTCCTTCTGTGACTCTATTTGAGCAATTTCAGTTGAACTGGCAAATCCCTGAAAACATAATAATAATTAGCACATACACAGTTATGAAATAAACAAGAGCAAGATTAAATTACAAATGCATTTTGCTATGTCAAATGTATTTAGTTTATAACAAAATTTCAAATCTCTTCTGCCAATGCTTTAACTTTACAGAAATGGTTGTTCAATTTATACTTCTTCAGCATACATTAGCATTTAAGTCAAGATCTGGTTACTAATTCTCTTTTCTAGCTGTTACACATTTTGCTTTACATATAGATGAAAAAAATTGGGGGGCATCTTTGGCTGACAAGTTTATTGACTTTCGTCACCTGTTTGCAGAAGAAGGTATTTATAATATAATAATTATTATAATAATTTTCCTTAATTATTAAGGAAAAGTTACATTGTGATCACTTCTGGGAGTTAAAGGTTAATCAAATTTGGAATACCATGAATGGCTCAGCAGCATTTAAGTTGGGTAAGTAATGACTTAAGGGGACTACTTCAGTGCTACGAAATCAGCAAAACAAGGTAGGGATTTCAAGCTAAAAATATGGTGGAAATTTGCCTTAATGGCCAACACATGCACATAAAGTTTAAAACACTAAAACAGTGTGAATTCAGCACTTTTCCCTCTGGAGACCTCTACGGACCTGTTTATTTCTATGGGTGGGAAAATTTTGAAGAAAGGTCTTTTGACAGTGACTAGCTATATTACCTGCATCTTTTGTGTGTAACATAAACATTAAATTAATGTTTAAATGGCAGGGCACAGCCCCTTTTGTTGACATTTAAAAAGCATGAATTACCGTCATCAAGTCAACTTTTCCGGCCTCTCTGTGATCAGCAGCTTGAAGTGGCTTCAAGAATTCCCGCCTGATTCTGACTGAGCAAATGTTGCTTCAATCCCTTTGCAGTTATGCGACTTCTTGACATATTGCTTTTACAGCTCTCTCATAAACGGCACACCAGAAATTGTCTGGGGAAGAAAAAGTTAATGATGTCTTCATGTATGTGAGTCAAATTATGAACTGATATTGTACACATGTGTAGTCCCTGAATTTCTTCAATCTGAATGTTGAGCCGCCATGCTAACTGTCTGTGCATTTCAATCATGTCAGCATTCCATAACCTTCTGCCACTATAAAAAGTGGAGTTCTGTAAGTCTTGAAACAAGCGATTGGATTTCTAATTCATGCCTGTCATCCAGTTTGCCCATAAATATACAGTCAGCCATAGGAAAGGAAAACTTCTGCAGCCCCTTCAGCTTTCCACTGACCTACATGTGTTCCTTTACAATGTGCAAGTGATCGTGGACTTCTCCCAGTTTTAAGATCTTGTGTCCAAGGAAATTTCTCAACTTGATCATCTAAATATGATGGATCAATGAGCTTCATGTCCAGAATTCTTCTAACTGATTTTTCACAACATTGAGGCAGATAGTGTGAAAAACATCAAATACCAGGTGCTTTAGGATGTCAAAGCCATACAAAGGGTAAAGGTATTTATGAAGGATACTTGTGCCAGTAAAACCTTTAGTAGATGACATCGTTTGCGTACACTTACTCTTGTTTCATGGTCTATGTCAAACATGTCATCAACAGAAGATTCAATAGATCTCTTCCCAAGGATATCTAAAGTGGTAGCGGTTTTCTCCATAATACACATGTGTTTGTACTATTTTCCAGTAGTCTACCAACCACTTTACATCTCCTACATCCAGACTTTCCTTGATTCAAGAATTTGCCACACTCACATTGTCCAGGATGATCCCCTGTCCAACACAGAAGTAAAACACGCACTGTCTCCACTTCGCTAGTTTGATAGCCCTCTATCTCTATCGCCCTTGGATAACTGAAAACCTTGAAACCATCAATGAAACCTGTGGATATGTCCTGCAGTAGAGGCTGTAGAAATGGGTCAAGAGCTTCAGGCAGGTTAGGAACCTGGGAGCAAGGAACAAAACCAACAACGTATACTTCTTCTACATTGCTCCTGTCATTCTTAGTCATGTTAGCAATGCTAACTTCAAGTGATCCACAGCCTCTATAACTAGTTCCAAAGGGCTGCCACCCATCCCAGTGGCCTACCAGTGCCAAATTCAAAGGAGATCCATTGGTGACTTTAATAAAGTGTTCAAAATTTTCAAAGCAGTTTGACATTCCACATCTTTACTCCCATCTTTTGCCATTTGGAGAATTGAGCAACTTATCTGATGAAACTGGTAGGCTACAATGAGGACACAGTGTTGGCAAAGTCCAGGTGCTCTTAGGGTCCCAGAACCATTGCAGTTCAACCCATCGCTCACCATCCCAGAATTCACATTTTTCTGGATTGCTGCTTTGGCGACCAAGCCAACTATCACGTGCATTCCAATGGGACAACATTTTTCTGCACATATCTACACTTTTAAACCAATTCTTCACTTTTTGTGCTCATGCCTAAGTAATAGTATTTTTAGATAACCTTTTTGCCACAATGAATGCACAAGTCATCCTTATTCTCCAAAATGCTATAATTTCCAGTATAAACAATTTTTACTAGTTTTCCCATTTCTTGTTTGTTCTTTCTCATTCCAGCAAAAGCAAACATAAAAATAATTTACATCTTCATATCCTTCCTCTTCAACAGCTTCTGCACTGAGTTCCAGTTTCTTGGCCACAGGGTTAGCACAATTTCTCGCGATCTATATTGTCACTGTTATGGCTGGCTAGCAAAAGAGTTTTACCATAATTCAAGATGTCCTCAAACGTTTGGCAAGAAGATCCACTTCCTTCACAATCCTGAGAGCATCTAGAACGGCATTAACGACTAATTTCCTCAATGGGTTGGGATCTTTTCTTCAGTTTTACCAGTGGCGTTTTTCTCTGTTCTTGCGGCTCTCGGCAAGCATGCACAGCTTCCGTCTTCATCTTCATCCCTTTCATTATTGCTGTGGTATTGCATAACTTAAATATCTTCATCTATCTGTTCTTCCCCATCCGATGGACAACTTTCAGTGGATTGAAACTACATCGTGGTAAAGGTTCACGAAACTCATCCAATGCAAAACAAGTTTTTGAAACAATTTGACTTTCTTTCCAGTGCCTAAGTTCGGTACCTTTATCCACTGCTCGTCCATTGCAGCTTGAACAAGGGCAATGAACATGCCGATATGACTTATCACTGCAACAGCACGATGTGATGCTACTTCTAGTCCAAATCGGATTGCTTTTACTGCCACTTTCCAGTGGAGGACGTAAGTTTGCCGCCATATTCCTTTTTGTTAAAGAAGGAGCTGTCCTAATAACAGTGGGCTCAACTCACTGAGCAACCATTTGTTGAAGAGTATGCCAGCAATTCATTCGCCCAGCGGCCTTTAAACACCTTATCCAATAAGGTCCAAGTATAGAAAACACGTAAGTGACGTAGTGAAATGGCGCGAAAATTAGCCAATAATAAATGCAGTACTATTATACATGTAGGTATAACCTTGTGGCACGTTTTTTCTCTCAGCCTTTCTCGCTGTTTTTTCTTCGGTGAGGCTTGCAAGATGGCAAGAAGAATCTGAGATTGTTAGCGCTTCAGAAGTAACCAAACGTATCCAACACGGAGGAGTCTTTTATTAGAAAAGATTCAAGCCAAATTTGGGGAAGAAATAAAAGACCGCTTTTGAAAGTAAGTCAGTTTTTCTCACACTGGCAGCGTGCACAGTTAAAAGATGTGAGGCTGTGGTTTGAACGAAGCTTGACACTTTTACCTGATGTAAATAGAAATTTTTTTGTGTTTACTGCAATTCATCTAACTGGAACTGCTGTAGATTGCTTTATTCCAAAGAGTGTCAATAATTCAACACTGAATATGTATCTGAAATTAAACATTAAACTCTTGTTTCTTAGAGGAGGAGATAATTGATGACGCCTCGATTGAAGACTTGACTCAGAGAGAACCGGACGCGCCAAATTTTCGAGATTGGGTTTAACGTATGGAAAAGCGGGTGAAATTTAGAAAAGAATTTGGGAGACACGTAAATTCATTGCAGTCAAGACCATCGTCTCCACAGGTTAAACCAACAATGGCGGCTATTGCTGGCTTTTCACCAGAAATGAAGCGACTATATTTAGCAAAAAGTAAGGCGATTTTCTACTAACTCATTGTTGACTATAGGCGTTCTGGTTATATTAACCTTTCGGGCCCGGAAAGCTGTTTTAGGTTTGCCTGTTTAATTCAAAGTCAACACAAAAATTAACGCACGATGAAACAATCAGTTCATTAACGAAGCAACATTGACTGGCTTGTGAACCAGGAACTGTGCTTAACCATTCAGCAGGTTTTGATATTACAGTTTTTCCCCTGTGTTAGGGCCAGCGTTCAATGGGTTTAGTTTGGGTTGATATTCACTACTATAATATACTCTAACAGATAATTCTTTTGATCCATCATTTGGAATAGTACTATGGCCGGCCTTTTTGCTAAGTTTTCAGTGTCAAGTGTGCTAGCTTGTAATATCATATAATTTGTCACCAAACTATTAATGCTGATTTCTTCTGTTTTCCTGCAGGTTTTGTGTTTGAGTATGTTGTAGGTTGATAAAAGTTCACTGACGTTAAACAATTTTCGACCTAATTTGTACTGGAATTTCTTTTGATTCATATTTATAAGAAGTCAGAAGCAAATGAAATTCAAATATGAACTGAATTAAAATCATGTATTTTAGCTTACACTAATGGTCAAATGTCTTACATCTTCAACTCCTTCACATTTTGCATTAACAATATTTTACAGACGCAAACAAGTGGGAGTACTTGCAAGTGAGCACTGAAACACAAGTTGCCAAATTCAATACACCAGAAAAAAAAAAAAAAGCTGAGCTGAACAGTTTGCTGAAGATTCCCATAATGTTCACTGCCAGAGGCTGGCTTTTCACAGATGGTATTGCTCAGCATATCAAAAGCTTTCAGTGAACAACGAAGATTCCATAAAAGCAAAGGTATTCGGATTTATGTTAATATATGTTAGTTGGCATTCTATGACATAATATGATTTGAAAGTAATAATACTAATAATAATTATTACTAAACAATAGCCATTGGGCAATAATTATTATTGTCCAATGGCTGACTGTTTTTCATCTCAGTTGAATTGTGTCATTATAATACTAATATTGCTGAATAGGTTTTGTCTCTTAATTGGCAACCCACATCTATATTATTGCAAACCTGCTTCTATGTTATGAAAAGGTGCTATCAGCTTTTGGTATGTTATTGACAGAATACCATCTTCCTATGTTGTAGTACTACCATCTTGTTCAGAATCCAGCTCCAACAGTGAAGTAGAATTGACACCTTCCTCCCAAGTTGCCATCTATGGTAAGTCACCTGCAGATGCTGCTTGTTTAATATGTTAACATCCTCTTTAATTAAAATTTAACACCATGAAGTTAAGAGCAAAAGTTATGTTGAGTCTAGTAATAATAATTTTTCAGTCAATCAGGTGCACTGTTTATTTTTTAATGTGCAAGATATATAATTTATTTGAGGGTGTGGTGCTTTCTAACAAATTATAGCAAATGAAGTAATGCACTGCATGCTTAATTCTTTTTAAACAGCCCAAAAAGAGGATGAAAAGAATGCCAAGAAAAAAATTTTTTCCACCTGAGGTATTACCAATAGAAACCTGTTTAAGCCTTTTATAAAGGAAAATATTTGTCATGATGATGAAAATATAATCATAATCATGGGGCTGTGTTGGGTCTTCAGCTTCAAGCTTAAACACTTTCATATGTTTAGGATTTTTCATGAAAAGGCAACAATGCGCACCTCAAATGGTTGTTGTT